CCCATTTAATAACCTACTCACTTAACTATTTTCTTAGTGTTTAATTATATGAAATTACCAAACAAAACCAAAGCATCTTATTATTATGTTTACAACTTTAAAACTCCAGATGTGGGATATAATACAAATTCTCAACTCTTGTAACTTTACTCAACCTTCGACGTGAGATTAAGAGATTTGAAACAAACCCTAACAAATCATCCGTTGACTTGAATCTCTAAACACTTTAACAGTATCTACAAAGTTAACACACTTGCCCTTTTTATTTTTCTTTGTCCCAGGAATCCTAACAATTAAAGTTTCATTAAGTATGTACAAATGATTTTTTACCATATTCTCTTGTAGAATCACACTAGAATGTACATTTTGCACCAATCATTTCTATATAATATGTATATCCATGAGAAGTTAACTCACCTAATATACACTTTGCACTAATAATTTCGTGCATAGTATATATATCCACGAGAAGCTAACTCACCCAAAGCAATAACATTGCAATTACAATTCAGTACATACTTTACATGATAAAAGTCTTAACAATATTATTGTGAGATCTAAGGCAACACTTTAATGTCTGAATTTATACATTTTCATGTTGGCAACCACAATATCCATACTTCTCATTCTCTTCCAATTCTACAAAGTAACTCTTATCATTAAGACATGAACTGTAGCAACTAAATTCAAAACCCAACATTTATCGACTTTCAAAGTCTAAGCTTCATCCACACAAGTCGTTAAAAGGGACTTCATATTCATCGGACACAATAGTAGCCCAGTATCACTTTTTTTTTATCTAATTTTTTTCTCATCATTCACCCTTTTGAAAACAGCCATATCATTTATCTGCTTCTTCTAAATACTTGGATATGTCTTTTTTTACCATAAAATAACATTCTACATCAATGTAATCCCTGTCTCTTGACTTGGATCTCTTCTTGATCCATCAATCATTTTTGAGTCTTTCCTTAATCAAATCCTTTATAGTTAGTGCACTTCCTTCCAGGTGATAAGTTATGTGTTCCTATAAACCGTTCGTTCTCACTCAATAGAGTAGTCACATCATCTAATTTCAAATGTAAACCTACCCACTAACAAAGTTTAAACTAAAAACTCTACAAGATTTAGGTAAGATGATAACAAATTAACATTCTCTTCATCTTCTAACTCATCAACAAAAAATAGTCAATAATTGAAGAAATTATGCCAATTAATTAAGAAATTACCTATTAAACTCATTGAGGTAATTGTAAATACTCATATCTTTTGCATTTCAAAGAATGTTAATCCATCTTCAAACATAATCCATTAGTCAATGGACTTTGAATGAACTACCCTGCAAAGTTATCCCCATAAATTCTTTATTGGTACCTCTTTGCAATACATTATACTTTACTTCTGCCAATTAATGCCAATTCTAATAATACTAATAGTTTTTTTTTTTAAATTCTATTTCAATTATTGTCAAACATTCACTCGAGCTTACTACTATATACTAATTGATCTTAATCATACTTTGTCAAAACTTACCTTATTTAGACATTTTCAAATACTCGCACCGTCTTCATGATCTCTTTCTTGGGCTTGTCTCTTCTCTTGCCACATCTTGAACTTAACTCTGATACCACTAATTAGTCTTTCTTCTTTCCACATCTCGAACATTGTTATGATATAATTTGTTAGAATACCACTTGTTAAGAAATTAACATGCACGCGCAGCATCAATACACTCAAATAATAGAGTAAGCCCAAAACAAGAATAAAAATATACAAATATATTCGGCCCAACTCAAAATGGTCTACTCAAAAATGACCTACTCCGTATCAAAAATCTAGCTGCTGTTTTGACATTAAGACAAAAGGGAAGAAGAATCAATGCTTAAACTATAGGATAAAAGCATGGAATTTTATACCAAAACACAGCAAATCATTGATATATTTTGGAATTTAGTAGTATACTTTCATAAATCACTTGACAATTGAGTGAAACTTAAGCTTACCATCAAAAACAATAGGATTGGATTTGTACCCACGTGTTCGAGAGCTTATAGAAAGCATAGGATGTTTTGCCACAATACTGAACAGATGCAAACACATAGACAAAGACATTGTCATGAAAAGGCAGCCGAATTGGAATCAAATTTAAAAAAAGAAAAATCAAAATGGTTCGTAAATTTAAAGAATTCTACGTAGCAAGAAACATAGAAAACGACAAGTGAAGATCATGGAATATGTTTTTAATGATAACACAAGAAGCAGAAGTCCAAATTCAGTCTAAAATACATCTAAACTATACTATAAAAGAATGTCTGTCCATAAAATTTGTGACATATTAAGTTGAAACAAAGAGGCAAAAGCATAGTGAAAGAACAAAGACCTTAGTCTTAGTTTCCCATGGAACACTGAGTTGCTGCACACACAATGAGAGTCTAACAGCTATCTTGTGGCCATGGCACCAAGGCAAGCAATGATATCCAGGCTGCAGCACCTCATCAAACTTTTCAAAGTGTTCCTAAATGTTATTCATTACCATTTATTAAGTTTAATAAATAAATATAAATGAACAAAAATTACATTTATTTGTAAACTGTTCATCTAACATTCTAATTAGTTTATACTTTTATCATATAAATGAACTGAATATAAACAAATTTTATTATATTTGAGATATATTATTTAATTAAAGAACCTTAAAAATATTATTTATGATTATTTATTAAATTTAATTAATGAACATAAAAGAACCAAAATGACACTTGTTCATGAATTATTCATGAAACATTTTATTCATTTATATCCTACTGAAAATTTCAAGTATATATATATAAAAAAATCTTCAATCAAGCGGATTGAACTCCAAGAAAGAAAAAAAAACCAGAAAATTATGGCTTAATTTAATTATTTGTAAAGTTTTTTATGTAATTAAAAAAATACCATAATTCATGTTAAAGTAACGTTCAATTTTAATAGTTGGAATAAGAGGGAAAATGTATTAAAAATTTGTGATTGGATGAAGTCAAGCCTGCCTTATCACAAAAAGGCTTTCAAAAAGTCTTAGAATAAGTTAATGTTCATTTTGGCCAAGGAATAATTATTATTTGTCGACGGATTCTGATAAACCATGGACTTCATTTGTTTATTGCGGTTGTCCAAAATCCAAATGGTCATGTTTATGAATTATGATAAAGTCAAAATAGTACAGAAAAAAATAAAAAAATTAACATTATCTTTCATTAAAAAATATGAAATATATATATGGTTTAGATTATATGGAAAAGATAATATTTTTTCATTAACTTCGTTTTATCTAATACACAATATGATGAACTTAACTTTTTAATTTATATATATATGATTAAAATTTTAAGATATATGATTACTTGTTTTTACAAAAGAAGTTCAAGGCTTAAAAGAATTGAGGTAAAAAATTTTGCAAGTGCCAAAGATTGAACTCTAATTTTATAAAATTTTTTTTAAAAAAGACGGATGAATCATTTGAGTTAATTTTGAGTTCTAATTTGTTATGAAAAATAAGTTTTCTCCTTAAATAAGGTTAAGTCACGTTTTTACATAATTTTTTGCATGAAAATAAAACTTATAATTTGGAAATTTGCATTTTCTTAAAAGACAAAAAATGAGAAAATAAAAAGATAAATCCATTTGTTAAAGAGAAAAAAAAAATTTTTTTTCAATCAAAATTCGATTATCATGAAAGTAATTGAAATGAAAATAAGACCCTAAATGCATAGATCTATATTAAAAAAATATAAAACTTCTACTCTTATTATATTAAAAAAACACTTTTGGAGGGAAAGCTAGAGGGCAAGAGTAGGTTAGCTTGACAATTGTATTATTATGATTGTGACACCAAACAAACTGTGGACTAATGGTAGGGTTGGATAGTTGAAGAACGTGATATCATTCCATACATTATACATACACAACCATCATTCATGATATTTGCGTCGTTGATTTGATTCGAATAGTGTAAGTGGGTCGTCCATTTCTATTGAAATGACCTTGCCTTACTGTAAGATCGAATTTGTTCAAAAATAGTGATATTCCTCCGTTTTTTTATGTTAAAAAAACCTTTTTTTTTTGTCTTCTTTTTTGTTTGAAGTAATGCACATGCATTGAAGAAAATTTTCCCCAGACATGCTCAGAACAAGTTTTCAACACTTTTCTGACATCCAACAAATAGAAAACTGAAAGCATCCAACAAATTTAAAATTCAAATATCAAAGCCGCAATTTTTTTTATCAGACATTGACCTCGTCTGTCAAAATAAAAACAAACTTTTAGTTAATTAATGGAGATAAAGGAGTTACAACAACGCCCTATGCGTTTTTACACAAGCTTTCTTATGTTAAAGATTTAAGAAAGAGATTCATTTGTACAACAGCAACAATCAAGAGGGTAATTATGAGGTGAAAGTGGGTATCAACAGTCTTAAATGAACACATTCCAACTAGGAAGAAGAGAACAAAAAGGAAGTTACATAAATTAGACTCACCATTTCCTTCTCTTTCACCTAATCAACCAAGTTCAACCACTTACGGTTGAGTCTACCACCTAGTCTCGGATCCTCGACTTCATCAGCATGCCGGCATGAATACAATCCATTACCAGAGTAATGTTCCAGTCTCTGTTCTCCGATGTAACCTGAATATCCGGAAGAAAGTTATAGACTAGCAATGAAAAAGAGAGAAATAAAAGAGACAGGCTTCCTTGAGCTCAATGAACTGTATGATGCTCCCACATCCAGGATGGCTTGTTCAATTCTACTCATAGAATGAAACAGTGAAAGTGGAATATAAAACAATCCTTGTCAAAGAAATGGCAGAGGCACCCCCTATTCTCTGTTGATAGTGCAGTCTGAAATAGCGGACACCAGACACGAACCAAATTCTAAATATGAACATATAGAAACTTGAACCTATGATTCTTTCGCTTTGGGCTTTGGTGATGGATGAGGATGTTGAGATGGAGAAGCCTGAGGACCGTTTGAACTGGATAAGCTCCTCAGAGGTTGTCCATTCCTCACAACGAATCCTGCCTGTGTTCTGATGCCATTTTTGGCATTCAAGTTGGACCGAGCACGATCAGATTGCATAGTTTGGAAGTAATAGGAAGAGCTGGCCATGTCTTTAAGGTTTGGTAAAGGCTTTAGGGTTTCAACAACTTCAATCATCCGAGGTCTGGCTTTGGGATCACGGCTAAGACATTGGGCAGCCAGCTGGGCAGCTTTTTGTGCACCTTTGACAGAAAAGTGTCCTTCAAGGCGAGGATCTAAAATTCGGAAGAAACTTCTCTTGTCTCCTAAATGTGGTCTTGCCCATTCTACAAGATTGTGCTCCCCATTTGGTCTGTTTTTGTCCATGGATCTTCGGCCAGTCAACATCTCTAGTAAAACTACTCCAAAGCTATATACATCACTCTTTGATGACAAATGTCCTAAATTAATAACAGTATTAGATTTGTGTAACCACAGATCTAGATAAAAGAAGCTTTTAACACTAAACATCATAGAAAAAAATCAAATAACAAAGATACAATTAAAGAAAACAAATTCTTAATAAAATGGTTAACACTGTTTGATAAACATATATCAGAGGTGGGCTAATTCCCAAAGGAAGACCAGCAAGAAAGTTGGGGATAACGGAAACTAATCCATGAAACATCATATGCAGAAATAAAGAAGTGATTCTACCACATACCAGTCATTACATATTCTGGTGCAGCATAGCCATATGTTCCCATAACTCGAGTAGATACATGAGTTTTATCTCCTTCAGGACCTTCTTTGGCCAGCCCAAAATCGGAGAGCTTGGCATTGTAATCCTGAAATTAGGAACGGTTTTAGAGAAAGAAAAAAATAAAATTTGGGAGGGAACCTACTATTTTTCTGTTTTACTTATATACCGCATCCAGCAAGACATTCGATGTTTTAAAATCACGATATATCACTGGTCTTTCTGCTTCTTCATGAAGAAAGGCAAGACCCTTTGCAGCACCAAGTGCAATTTTCATTCTAATAGACCAAGGAAGTGGCAAGGACCCTCCTGCACAAAAAATGGTTGTTACCAGAAAAAGTAAACATCAGCCATGTACATGCAAATGCATAAAGGTACGTACAATCATAACGATAGTAATAAAACCAAGCATCAGATATTTCCTTCCAGCCCTAATTGGTCATTCTAATACCATCAAGACAACTCTGTAACAAATTCCCGCAACAAGGAGAAAGTACATGGATCAGTATCAGATGGTAAAACAGTGTACAACAATAGGTAAGAGAACTTTCAGACAGTACGTGACTTGGAAAAAGTTTCAAAGAGTATGTCACTTGGCTATGCTGCCCTGTGGCAAACACAAAAGTCATGCTAGCATACAAGTTACTTTGCCAGACATTTACTTGGCTACCTCACACATTTAATGCTTTTACATACAATAAAATATAGTAAAGACAATTCTAACCTAAGAACTTGCTATAATCACAGATGAATCTTTCAGTTCCAAAAGAGCGCAAAAGCTTACAAGGAGAAAACATATATGTCATAGGTAAAGAAAATATAATACTATAACATAATATAGAGGAAAACTTGAGGCACCGCATTAATTTCTAAGCTAAACTTTGTACAACTGACAGCATTACCTTCCAACAATAAAACCCAGATTCTCTGTTCAATCTAAGTTAAAGAGAACCCCAGAAATCACACATTTATTTAGCCAACAGCCTTTTCATGTCATTGACCACATATCCATAGCTGAACTATCTAAGTGTCACAATACTTTGCTTAAACAATCTCACAACCACGATAAAAGGCTAAAGGTATATCATGAACAAAAAAGTGATTACATACTTCTGAAGAGGTGGTTCTCCAAACTTCCTCGTGGCATAAACTCATAAACCAGTAATCTGTGATCATCTTCAATGCAGTAACCAACCAATTTAACCAAATTAGGATGGAGGAGTTTACCAAGAAAATCCACTTCAGCCTGACACAAAACATGAAATTTTGAATAGAAACGATTAAAAAAGAAAAATAATTCAGAAAGCAAATAAACTAGATGCAGATGCCATACCAGCCACTCTTTGTGACCCTGAAGTCCATCAATGTTTAGTGTTTTGACAGCAACAGTAAGCCCAGTACCAGGTTTCACAGGAGCAGTTCCATTCTCCTCAATCCAACCTTTAAAGACACAACCAAACCCACCCTCACCAAGAAGACTCTCAGGTCTAAAATTTCTGGTCGCTAATTTAAGGTCAATAAATGTGAACTTCCGAAGCTGCAAAGCGACTTTCAGTTCCTCACTGAATTTAGGTGTGGATGAAGCACTTTCGGCATTACTACCAGTTGTAGAAGACACTGGAACAACTGGCTGATCTCTGCTTTTCTCTTTTGTAGGTTTTCTTTCTGCTGAATTTATACAAAGAACAAGGTCAGTAAAATAAATGGCCGTGCAACAATTATAAAAAATAGTAACTATCAGATACCATTTCACATAGATGCATTTATCACACACTAAATGTTTCAAAATTTGTATCCAATATCCAATGCTTCAAGGCTAATCATATACCTTTCCATAATAATAACCAGTAGAAAACTAGTTGCTTTCAACTAACTACCTCATTCAGCAAAACTTATCATGTGCCTAATTAACAAGGGAAAACCCATTAATTCATTAAGATACAAATATAGCAAATAACCACAAATTATCATGCTCGCTTAAACTACCAAACTTATATACCATGTGAAAAAACCATCAAATGAATAACTTCAGCAGAGGCTCCATTTTCTTTCTTTTACCAAATATATTTGCCTACAAAAAACCTTTCGATCACTAAATTATTTATATAACTTCAATTAAGATGATAAAAGAGAGCAATTTAGTCTAAAATGAATTTATATACAGTAAAAATCAAGCATGTCTTTTCTATCCGTTTATTTATACTTTAAAGATGAGTTCTTTAACACCAAAATACTTGGCAATAATCTTAAAATTTTCCATTGTTCATTTATCTTAAAACAATTTTTCTCCTAAATATTGTCAATAGATGATGTCATCCCTTCACCTCAACCGATTAAACAAAAAAAAAAAATCACACCTAAAAATTATATATCCTTTTCTTAAGATTAAAAAAGGCTTTTTTTTTTAATTAAAAAAAAATTAAATAAAAGAGAAAGGAAAGAGAAGATTACCATAATGAGTACCTGTTCTTCCACTCATAGAGTTATCAACTCTTGATCTTGAAGACATGCAACTTCCCATAAACCGTAATTTAACCCAACATCCTGTTTCTTCTTCTCCTCCATCTTTCTTCTTCCTTGATGATTTTTTCTCAACTTTTTCAGCCTGATGAGCAAAACCCATGTTTCTAAGACTGACCTTAAACCTCAAAATTCCTCAAAAAATGAACTTTCTTTTTTCCCAACAAACATCAAAACTCTTATTCATAAAACAGAAAAAACCCATTTTAAAACACTTTAAAAAAGTGATTTAAAGCAATCAAACTCATCAAAAATGATTTTTTGCTGATAATCACTAAGACCCAGTTTATGACATTTAGTCAAAAGAGGGTTTTTGAGAGATAGAAAGACAAAGTAGGGGCTGATTCGGAAAGAGGGAAAGTGTTCAACAAAGGACAGGTTGGGCAGTTTGAAACAGAGAAAAAGGCACCTTGGGCAGGAGAGAGAAACAATAGAAGTGTAAAAAAATTTCATTTCTGTGCTGTTAACTAACAACAGCAACCTTAGCATATTTCAAACCAAATAAAAGAAAAATTAATCGTATATTAGAAAAAAGATCACGGAAGTTGATATACTTAAGATTTTGTTTTGTTTAATATTTTTTCTAGGTTGGGTTAGGATTTATCTTACAGCTTGAAAGATTAGGATACATGAAGTTCTATTGAGACCGTGCCAACTGAGCATGTGGTTGGGTTGGAATATCCTTGCCTAAAAGCATGTTTACTAACTGACAAAGACAACTATCGCTTTCTTTGGTGCGTTTGCTGCCAAACTAACAGTGCTTGAATTTTTCCATCACCACACGCTAGTTAGTGGAAATACAATTCACAACTTAAAGTGGACACCCTTTTTATCTTCGGGAGCTTATAAATGTGCCATTATTTTTTTTAATACTTTATTTTTAAAATTTTTTTTAAATAAAATTATTTAATTATTATTTCCATAAATTTTTGAATACCAATAAATTTTATAACTTAAAAAAAAATTATTTTTTAAAAAAATAAAATTTTTTGATAAAAATTACAAAAAAATTGTATTATAGATTTTTAGCAATTGATGTAATGAAAAAATATTATTAAAAAATCATAAAATTTAAAATTATTAAAAAAAGATTGATTTTATTATTTTGATCTTAAAAAAAGAATAAAATTTTATGAAACTTTAATTAAATATTTCATCATTTAATGTTATGAAAAATCATGAATGAACTATTAAATTTGATTAATATATGAGAACTGAAACTCTTTGAAATTATATAAATAATATTACTATATACTATATAATTTTGTCAAAATTTAATAAATTAACTAAAGAATTTCATTGTAATAAATAAATGAAGAGATTTTTTCAAAAAACTTAATTTAATTAGAATTATTATAAAATTTTAATAATTGATAACAAAAAAATTTATTTAAAAAGAAATTATGATTTTTAAATCTATAAAAAAAATTACATTTACTAAAAATCTTATAAGATTTTACTTTTTCTTTATGGTCAAAATAATAAAATTAACTTTCCTTTTATTAATTTTAAAATTTATAATCTTTTTAATAATAACTTTTTTAATTACTCCAATTAATAAAAAATTTTAATAAAAATATATTTTTTGTAATTTTTTTTAAAATTTCTTACTTTTCGAAAATAAAATTTTGAAAAATTATATAATTTTGTGAAAATTTATTTTCGGTAAGTTATATATCTTTTTAAAAAATTATTTTTCAAAAATTATATAATTTATCAGATATAAATATTCAAAAACTTATAAAAATAATAATTAAGTAATTTCTCTTATATTTTTAAAAACAAATAAAGGTGTAAAGTGTAAAACCAGATATACATTTAGAAGCACCCTTTATCTTCTCCATATTTTTGCTTTACTGCATATTTTTTCAATATACTAAATCTTGTAGTAATTTTGTTTCAAACTTCCAGTGAACTCTATTATCATCAAAGTAATGATGTATAGGTTTATTATTCATCCTCTAAATTCCTCTAGAAACAATCGACGGTGAATTTTAAATTTTGTTTGAACATAAGCATGTAATCAATGTGCTTTAAATTTTGTTTCGCTGGTTGTCGATTAGACTGTGACCGAGGAGGTGCTAACTAATAAAGGGGGAAAATGATTTGGCCGAAGTCAATTGGAAGAGGTTTTGTTGTTGTTCGAAGGTTGAAGCGAGAGAGAGAAAAAAAAGGCAAATTGAAAAGAAAATTAAAGAGAAAAAATAATAACAAAAAAAGAAAAGAAGCCACGTCATAACTCTGTTGCATTTTGGATTAAAACTTTTTTATTAGGAATTTTAAATTTTAGTCATATATCTTGTAATATTTGATAATTTGTGGTATGTTATTTCAATATATCGTTACAAATTGATACTTAGGTTATAAAAAAATTGACTCGAATTAAATTAATTAAATTAAAGAAAATACAAACTTAGTAAAATGAGCAATAGTGTATTTTATCCAAAAATAATTTGTTTTATGATTCGTATATTTGCTTTTTAAACGTATTTTTCGTAAGAATATAAATAAATAAAATTTTTGATAAATCATTTACGAATAAGTTTGAATTTTGTTAATTTATTTTTATTTATTAAATTTAATAAATAATTTTAAATAATAATTTTATGTTCATTTATTAAACAAATTAAATATAAACATAATCTATTAGTTATGTTCATAAATAAATTTATTTAATAATTGTTTAAAACTCATTTGTTTATAAAAATGGTTCATATTCGTTTATTGTTCGGTATAATAATAGCAAGATTATATGCTTATTTTTTACTCTAATACTGTATCATAATCCTATTACATATTTGGTTATGATTTATTTATCATTTATAAATATATTTATTTATTATTTAGGAATATATTTATTTATATATATTCATTATTTTCGTTTAATATTTACGAGTGCATTCTTTTAACTTAAACAAGTACAACACAAATCAAATTTAAACAATTTATTATTTAAACAAAATGAATTCAAACGTAAGGAATAATTGTTTCTAACAAAGGCAAATCAATCCAAACAATCTTAAAAATAAATAAATAAATTACAAATATATATTTATGGATTTGTATTCAATTCACTTATACCTGGATTCCATTAACATGATTACATCTAAGAAATTTCTGCCACTTGCTACTATTTTTGGACCAGTTAATTTGATTTGGCACCACTAACAGAAAAAAGGAGGCCTACAAACTTAATCCATGCCATGAGTTATGCAAAATCTTAAATTATTTTTTAATGGGTTAATTATATTTTTTGTAACTTTGAAAAAAACAATACAAATTGGTGCTTAAAAAATAAAAAAGTACACTTTGCACTGTAAATTTTTAAATAATATATTATTTTAATCAAAATTGTAATATTATTAACTTAATTTATTTATATAGTATCTAATCAATATAATTTTATTATATGCATTTTATTTATTAAATAAAAATGTTAAATATTTTACAAAAATTTTTATATGAATGCCACATAATAAAAAATAATTAATCAATTAAATAATTTTTAACTTGATTATATTTATCAAATATCATAAATAAAAATATATATGATTACGATAACTAAAATTTGAATTAATATGATATAAATTTTAAAATTTAAGATATAAATTATATATTATTTGAAAACTCAATTATAAATTGTGTATTTTGTCAAAGTTCAATTAAAAAGTGTAATTAATTTTTTTTATCACTCAATAGATTGAATGATTAGAACTATTTTTCAAACCCCACCTGGCCCTATAACCTTCAGCCAAAATAGTGAAAAACCCAATAATCGAATAGAGCTCCATTATTTCTTTGTCTCACTGTGATTGAAATCTCAATTGTGAAAGTAACTTAAAATCAAAAACCTAAATGTTGACAACCTAGCAGAAAAAAAATTTGTAAACTTAAATTGTATAATCAATTATCGAAAAACTCCATGACAGAAACTGAGAACATAAGGCAATAACTAAGATACCATTCTAAGGCAGGACTAAAAAAAAGTATAAGTACAACATAGATCATTCGCTCTGCTATCTTCACCATCTTCCTGTACGCTCAACCCAAGATCAGTTTCATGGTCTAAAAAAAATCATAAATCACAAATCAATTGTGTATTAAAATTAATCTTAAAATATAAATATTCACATCACTTTTAATTTGTAATATATTTTTTGTGAGACAAAAGTATGCGATCCAATGCATTAGAACAAATAATTCCTCATAAATTAGTGCGGACATAACAATCAGCATGCAACTATTCCAATGGAACGGAAGGCACATCATCCTCATCATACACGGCTACCATTTCAGATGGCTGGTAATCTCTGTTGACGTACAGTGATAAGTTGAACCTTAATTCATGGTTCTCCTCCAGATCTCTCAAGAACTCTTCAGACCCTGATTCCATCTTCTCTTAATGAGCTCTACCTTTATATTCATCAAGTTCCATATCAAGTGACTTAAGCTTCCATGAACGAGTCTTCCCACGCTTCTTCTGGCATTTCTCTTCATAGCTCTTCTTTATCAAAATTGCCTCATGAATAACGAGTCCTCCATACTTGTCTAGTTCAATATCATTACTGTCGGCCCCATAAAGGTCATATCCAAGAGCTCGATCTCCAGGCTTTAATATATGGCCTTGATGTGTTCTGGTGTAAAACAACTTTCCATAATCAGTTATATAAGCCACCTCAACATCTGTCAAAACACATGTGGAGCCCCCAACAATAAATTCAGGAGAAACAACATATTCTACCAGCTGCCTGCTACCAAGTAGAGATTTAAAGGAATGCTTCCAATACTGGTCCGTGTACCAAGTAGAGATTTAAAGGAATGCTTCCAATACTGGTCCGTGTCCAAGAAACACTGCCTCAGAGTATATGGATCCAGCAATGTAATGTTGTTGGTCACTTTTGTAAAGATCATAACTGGACCAAAATTCCCCAAACTAGCGGCAACTCTTAGAGGCAAACAAATCAAATCTTCACGGCAAATGGGGAATATTTCAACTGAGAATGTGTACTATTTCAATTGTAGCTATTTTTCTTAGGATCATGAGAAACAAGCTGTTTGTCATGTCTACTCTTTACCCAAAAATTCCACAAAATTCACAGCATGACTCCTGTTAGCAAAGAAAAATTCAATACCCTGATCCATCTGCTTGATTTTAATGGCATGGACAGCAACATCATGAATCGGGATGACCTACTCCAGATAAAAGAAACCTAACCTGTGTGAAACACGCTACCTGAGCTGCGCGGAAGCCACCCACTGCTCAGGTGTACAAGATTCACACGTGATCTTGCTGAACATACTCAGCAACATAAGATTGCTCCGGAATCGCTCCATTAAATATCTCTTTCTGAACTTTCATCTTGACCTTGATTCTCTTAGAATGAGGTTCAGTCAAAATAAATTTAGCATTTACTAGCCTAAATTTGTTCAAATCATTCTGCTGTCGTTTCACACAACCTCAAGAGCTCCTTTGATTACAAGGGAGCTCTCTTCCAAGTTCTATGGGGCTGCAAGTAGCTATCAAATTTTTTTTGGAAAAATAATTGCGCAAAGGCCCAAATCTTCTTAGACTCACGCATATTTGTCTCTAAGCCAAAAGCCCATGTGTTTGCTAATAGGAATTGAATTATGGAATTTTTTTTCATTTTTACATATTCTTTTAATACAAGGAAAAATAAACAAATAAAAACTTATGAATTACTATAAAAAATATCAAATCAAAGAGTTAAAAATTTTCATCTTGTTGTAAACGAGATACATTTGGATAAACTCTTCCATTTCTTCTTCATAACCCTGCTTTCTTACATGGATAACAATTGTTCATAATTTTAATTCTGCTAATATTCATAAAAAAAAAAAAAAAAAAAAAAAAACTTTACTTCATCATATGTTCAATTCTTAAAATATAAGTATAATATTAAATATTTTATTATAATTCAAAATCATTCGTAATATTTAAAAAGAAATTACCACTTCTCTCTCTCTCTCTCTCTCTCTCTCTATATATATATATATATATATATATATAATGCTTAACCAAAAGTTTCAAAGCGAAAGTAAAATCTTATCACTCAATTTAATTATCAAGATCGCTCCAAAGCCAAGAAGCATGAAATTTGATACTAATGAATGAATAATAACAGTTGCTTCACATGAAACAACTTTTTAAAGTACAAACCAAATTACAACAGGACCCAAGACATTGACTGAAACTAATCATAGGCATTAGACTTGTTAATTGTAGCTCTATTAACGTTACAGGTTAGCAAGAAATACAGACAAATAAATAACAATAATGATCAAGATGCTTCAAGTTTCAAGCCATTTCGAGGTTTCCATAATCAGATACTAGATTTTAACCCATGCTATGCTGCGAGAGTTGTTTAAAAAAAGTACAAAAAAAAAATTATTATGAATGTAATATATTAAAGTAAGTGAATATAATAAAAAATAATTTAGTGATTCATTATACAATCACAATCTATCGTTAATTCATAGATTTACACGTTTAATTCTAAATGCGTAAAAAGTAAATGTCATCACAATCTAAGGGGAAAAAGCTTCATAAAAATATCAGTTAATGAAAAGAATTTCGTATTAAAAGTCTGACACCAAGAATTTCATTACTGGTTTTGATTTGAGAACTCTCAATCTTATATTAGAATGTAATGTGGCCCAACCAAGTCCACAAAAAAAAAATAAAAATAGAGAGGATAAATAGAAACCAAATTCAATAAAAAACAGGAAGAATAGAAAAGCAAAGATCAAACCTGCAAATAGAAGCCAAAAACCCAAAAGATATGCCCACCTGAAAAGAAAATGAAATAATTGAGAAAGATTTAGACTATCAATTACCCAAAGCTGCAAAAAGAAAATGAACCCGTCTTATCTATATCAGAAACCACATTCTAGTCATAAACTTCTAAAAGCACAATTAAGAAACAAGAGCAAAAGTAGGCCAAATTAGTTATCAATCTTGATGGCCTAATAATATCTAATAACACTATCTGGCATTAGACATATTGTGTGTTTCCTTTTTAATGACAATGAAGTCATGTAAAGGAAAGATAACCACCACTCTTAGATAGTTGATATACAAAAATAAAGTCAAGAAAAGGAAAATCCTTTTAAAATACAATTTTTTCTTTTTGCATCAAACATATCCCAAGGTTTAACACTTTTGACATTGAAATTAACTCGAAAGCATTCATAGTTGTTGATTGTTCTTCTCTCTTTTCCGTCACATGGTGCCCCTATTACAAAAACAACAATGAAAGCTTAGTAAGAAAAAAAAGTTAAGAAGCACCTAATATAACAGCACTCATCCGGTATACAGATGCAATTGTTCTATAAATTTGGAAAAGACCTCATTCACCTATTGCAAAATCCTTAAAAACAGCATGTACATTATCTAAGTATGTATCATTTTTCTCCTCAAACACAGAAGGTTTGTAAACTTTTTTAAACCACTCTTCTTGCAAAATTTTAAGAATGGCAATGCACTGTAACAAAAGAAAAAGATATGTACACATTAATATTGTGCAAGTTAATAAATTGTGAAGGCAAACAATTTCGTAACATTAGAGGCCAATATAAATATCCATGGCTAGATGTGTGCAAGCCCAACTTGCTACTCAAAGATTAAATAAAGGAACAGTTATGCATAGTTGCTTCAACCATCAAGAATCAAGATGCTGCAATAGTCTAAATACCTTACATCAATCAAGGATCAAGATGCTGCAATACCTCTAATATCTCTAACTCAAGAATCCGCTGTTTATGTGAGGTTCCATTGAATCTAAATGCCTATCACATATGAACCCATTTCCTGAAGCCACTGTGATGACTGACAAGATACACACGGCAGCATATTAACCAAAACTAAAGACATAAACTTCATCATTCCTGAATTTAATATTCCTTAAATCAAATGTGGATAGAAGATAAAATAGTCCATATTGCTATATGTTTTCAAATAAAGAGATTGACATTTGTTTTGGAGCAAATGCCCATGTACATTCAACACAAAATTACCACTATAATTTGTAGAAATCGCTCATAAATATGAGCAATAGCATTAATAAGAAGTAAAATCTCCTCCATCTGTCATTTAAAATCCAAAGATATTCAACCAAAACAGTCAATAACCAAAGAATTGATTAATCTCATAATCATATGGAAATCACTTGAACCACCAAAACTTAATTAAAAGATCACCAGAGGGCAGCTTTCTGGAAGACGTTTATCCCTCTTCTTAAAAAAAAAACCCAACCAAACAGAGATTTAGGGGAAAAAAAGAGAGAAGAGGAGAGATTAAAATTTTAACCTCTACAGGTAGCATGAAGGAGATGCGATAAGTTGATCCAGTTGTCGCTACCCCTCTTCTCTTTCTCTTTCTCCTTCCCTTTTCTCTCTTTCAATTTTCAGGGTATGAAGCTTCTGGACCCACAAACTTCTCAATTCAACCGTTTTGCCTCTACTATTTTTCTCTTTAAAAATCATGAAGCTTCTGTTTGTCTTTTATGCCTTTAATCAATTATCTTTAAAACATCTAAAAGTGTAAAAGACGTTTTTATTCTTAGTTTTTAAGTTAATAAAAAAATGACAAACGGCACCAAATTAGATACTTTGATGAACAGTTAATGAACAGTAAAATTAAAAAATTACTTCCTATTATACTTATGGATTTGTTGGTAGTAATGCTTCAAATTTGGGATTCATGAAATTTAGGAATTATTTCGGGTTAATTTGTTTTACCTCAGCGGAGGAATTTGGACAATTTTTTTGGGTTTTTTTGTTAATTTAGAATTGGTATTAAAAATTTGAAAAAGAATGAAAAATGCATCGGAGGAAATAAAAATTAAAAATTAAAAATAATTAAATTTTTAGATTTAATATACAATTATTACGTTTGAATTAGTGAAGGAACTCCACCGTAATATTTTTTTTTTCCTAACGAAGAATTAGGGAAGCTTTGGGGTTTTTTTTTTTTTTCGGTTTTTGAACTTTTTTTTTTTGTTAAAGATGTGTGGATTTTAATTTAAAAAGAATTTTTTTTATAATTTTTTATGATTATATTAATAATCACGTGATATTTTATTAACAAATATGGTATTTTAATTATTAACGTGTAATTCACGTACCGACTCAAATTGAATAATTAATCTGCAGTTAACTTTTTATTTAAATCGAATCAATTCGACGATAAATAAAAGAATAAGGGTTGACCCCGATAAAAGACGATGGATAAAAATGATATTTTTTCATGGTTAGAGGACCTGTATAACTAGAACTTAAGATACAAATTAGAATTATTCAAAATTATTTAAAATGAAATTAATTTAATTTTAAAATTTAATAATTTTGATCAAAACTAATTCAAACTTAATTATCAAAACTGGAATAATTTCAATATTAAACTCCAAAAAATCCAACTTGGGCATGACCTATTCAATCCGCGCAATTGCCACTTTCACAATTGATACTCAACCAATGATATCGAAATCCATTTTTCACTAACGCCAAGCATAAATTTTCGTTCGAAATTCGCTACCATACACTTTCCATGAATTTGACATAACTTGGGTATCATTATCATTAACTTTTCATGATTTTATTCTATTGGTTACTCCAACTTCCATGAAAGTTCTGGCCAAACCTTAAAAAGTAAAAACGGAAATAAGTTCCAAGAAACTTCCAGGTAAAGAGATACATATTAAATTCTTTTTCAAGGTAAGTGGAAAATTCATTGCAGGATCTTTTCCTTGGTGATCTTCCAAATATCTTCTTTGCGGTTTCTTTGTAGTTTCATTTCATCGTGAGTATATATTTCTGTTTCTCTCAACTCAAATACTCAACACAATCTCCCTGTTTTAGTAATTTATTTTCACCACAATCTCCAAATTCATTATCATTTCCATTCAAAAAAATGGTGCCAACCAATGATCAAAACCAAACCACAATTGCTCCTCAAACCAATACTGAAGTCTCCATATTTCTTCCAACCATAGCTTACTTGTACCTCACATTCAACAGCATCTCCACAATCTACCAGGCCTGCTCCCATGGTGACTTTTCCATGGCAGCTTTCATAGTTTTTGTGTACTTCGGTTATTTCTTTCTCATGTTTTGCATAATAAAATTCCAAGCCTTACCTCCCCAGGAAAACTCACTAAGGAAAGATTTCCTGAAATCTGTCATTTGGATTTTAACTAATGTCATCTTATTTGGCTTTGCTTATCAATTCTCCACCTTTATTCACCCTGTTGCAGCCATTTTTGTCTTTGCCATTGCAATTTTTGCCAGTTCTTTCCTCTTCTTCTTATATTTTGTCCATGATGATCATCACCTCGAGCAACAAAAACAAACTCCTAGCTCTTGCTACGGACTTAGAATCAAGATACTTCGAAGTTCTTCATCAAATAGTAAAGTGATCAGTGGCAGTAAAATTAAGCAAGTTGTGCCAGGTCCAGAAAATGTCTAATTCCTGGAAAATCTCTAAGAGTTCAGAGTGTCTGAATAAAGGAAACAAATATAGAATACAATTTGGGTACCATTTGAGTTACATCCCCTTGTAATGAAGAGATATCTAAGTTTTTAAGTTGGTAATGACTTGAATATTTGATTTATTCTATTCATAGTTTGTTCCTGGTTATCAATCTCATTCAATTTAAAAGTTTTAAGTTGACAAAAATTCCCTAGTAAAGTTAAACCATCTATCAATTTAATGGAAAATTTATACTATGAAATTTATCTTAACACGGTATAGTATTTTGCAAAAAGTAATTATACTTCTCAAACACCTGTAAATTTTTTCACTGTTCTCAAACCGCTACTTCTTATATACAAAAATAAAATGTTCTCGGCTTCTTTGTTTTCATCATTGGTAATGTGGCTCTCTTTTTAGCTATTTTGAAGTCTGTTTCTCACTTTTATAAATCTCCATTCTCTAGCATGAAATGAAGCAGAGTCAGCGGGCCCAAGGATGGAAGTCTAATTCGTTTAATCTATATACACCAGTGTATGTTACCTTTGAAGTATATATTGTCAATAACTCAGATAATGGAAAATAAATTGTAAAATATTCTAAAATGTCATTTGATTTTCTAAAACAACGGAAAGCCCAAAAGAGACATAAAAACCCAAGATGCCCAGACCAAAATGAAGTTGACTCATGAGAAAATAAATCAAAGCAAGTAGCAACCCAAACAAAAGCACGATAAATTGAGGAAAACAGGCCTTGGAGTTGCGGGCTATCGATCCCGGTACCTCTGGCATGCTAAGCGAACGCTCTAACGTCTGAACTACATCCTCTTTTTGAGGTTCTTGTTTGAAGAACAACCCTTCAATATTATTTCCATTGTAAGTAACTCTATTCTATATTCTCATCAAACCACTTTTTTTTTTTTTGGTGGGGTTGGACTCTGAACTTGCCAAACATCTCGAAGGCATTATTAAGGTCAGTAAAATTTGTCTTTTTTGATGTAATAAATTAAGGGTTTTAATTTGTACATTTGTAGTTAAAGTAACATCTTCAGTTCAATGCATTGAAAATTACCAAGATTACCCGTCATCTATTGCATTTTGCTAGTGTCCTTAACCCATGAGCTCATACTCTTTTGTGCTCCATTTGGCTTTTGTGCTTTGAACATTGAGCTTTACTGCTTGTGAATCTTGTCACTTTAATGGTGGACCGATATATGTGGCACAATATATGGAAGAAGTGCTAAAAAAACCCAATGCTGGGTTCTATATTAACCGGAGTGTCTTTGGAGCTGAAGCTAATTTCATAACATCTCCTGAAGTAAGACACATGTTTGGAGAGGTAATTCAATCTCTACTGAATTTGTACAAATGAAGGAATAATTTCAGATGTTTAGCGTTTGAGCTCTGTGTTTATGGGAACAAATGGGACAACCAAAGAGAGTGAACTTCTTTTTTTTTTTCTGTCAAATTTTCTTCTAAATTTAAGGCTTGGCTTGGTAAAAAAAGATAAAAGAGATAAGGATGAAAATTTTGTTATAATATAATGATTAAGTTATAGAGTAAAAATGTGATTATGAAATTTAATTATATAAATTAATAGTCGACCAAGGCGAAGGCAGGAATAATAAAGGAGGAACCAAACAAAAATTTCAAAGGAGAAGAGATGACTAAAATAGTAATTTGATGGGACTGAACATTGTCTAATAAAAGAGGTAAAAAATTTTAGTGGGAAGTCATGGCTCCTGCCTGCCTTCATCTAGCTTTGCCCCTGACGTTGCTAGTAATCTTCATGTTTTTCCTGTTATACTAAAGATTTCGATATCGGCATTAATGGAAGAATTGAGAAAAGAAGAAATAAACTGCATACAAAGGCTATCAGCATAAGGCCACAGACATATTATTTTGGAGCTCAAGTAATAAAACTGATAATTTTGATGCAAATGCTGATTCATGATAGATTTTTTTTTTTTTTTTGCCAGTATGAACGAAGTAAGATGGTTAAGAAAAGAGCAGATAAAAGAAACATATACTTTATATACTAACCATTAAAAAGCAAAGGGTCAACCCCAAAGAAAATTTCTCTAGCATTTGCCACTTAACGGACAAAATTCTCTAACTAATAGGTTAAGTGCTATATGATAGGTGATTCAATATGAACCCCTTTAACCATTTCATTTCACCCTTAAACTTTGAATTTGAGAAAACTATAATAATAATAATAATATAATAATAATAATAATTTGTGATTATATCGAATAAATTTAGAGTTTAATTTTAGTTCTTGCTATCTCTTTCTTTTTTTTTTTTCAAGTTGTAGCTTACTTTATATAAAAAAAAAATACATGTTACTTATTTAGTTGGATTAAAAGGGTTTTTTATTGAGTAGATTACCTTGGAAATATATGAATATAATTTAGTTTATAAGTTTCCATAATCACTTAATTTGATTATATTAGTGAGAATTAGATTGCTTCAACATAGAATTTTCGATCCTTGTTACAAATATATAAGCCAGAACAAATTTTACAAAAATATGAGTTTTCGATTTGTTTTTTGTGGGGTTAAATTGGAGTGCATCATGCAACATCGGGCAAGACCAAATCATGCAGGGTTTCCTCTAGAAAGGTCACTTGAGTTGGTAATTACTAAATACCCAAACTTCTGATGAAAAACAAATGTTATTGATTAATTTGATGTGATAATACATAAAAGATGTAACTATTTTCAAATATGAACCACATATTTTCTCAGGTGTGGTCTAATCTTTCTTGTCTTGTAATGTCTTGATCAAATTAAACCAACCAAATCGAAAACCCTTTCATAAAAATATGAAGATCGACCCTTCATTCTTGATCAGCAAATTTGGCCAGTTTTGCACCTTTCTTTTCTTTAGTGGGTTGGTTTTCTTTTAGGATATCAAAATCAAGTTGACCAAGACTTGTATATCAAGACATGCTGACAAAGTTTTTTTTTTTTTTTATTCAAGGAAGAAAAGTTTTTCTTTTTCCTTTATTCGAGGAAGAAGAGACTTGAACCATATGTTTTAAAGTAAAATAATTATAGAATTAAATTTCAATATGCACAAAATAAGAGTTTTAGTTGCGTAATCAACTTAAATTTTTTATGGGAACTCTCTCTCTCTCTCTCTA